ACTGGTAAATGAGAGAAAATGGGTATGTTAGTTTTTCTGCGACACTTCTAAACCCCGTTTCTAAACACTGACACTTCTTCATTTCTGCAAAACTATTACCGACGATGAGGATCGGTAAATTTTCTAAGGAAAGTGCTATTCTGAATTAGTGCATCCAAATGGGACTGTCTATCGATATTGGATCAATAATTGTGAAGTCTGTTTGGGCATGATCGTTCATGGATCAACTTATGGGCTTGGACATCCTTCCACAATTTTCTTACTTTGCAGTCAGTTCCAAGTATCTTATGAGAATTGGGAAAAGGTACTTCTATCTTAGAAGCCTTTGGACCCAACTGAGAGATACCTAGCCAATGAAGATGAAAATGATATGAATATTATGGTGGATCAATCATCTCAGAATTCACTGTCTATTCAACCTTTAATTTCGGACAAGACACTGTTGATCCTGCGCAGAATCTAGAATCAAGAAATGGGAGAAAGATGTACAAAATGTTATAAATGCAATTAACAATATCTCTGATTTTTTCGATCATCTAGATTGGAGGATAAAAGAACAATTTGCTCACTCTAGATATATCAAAGATAGTTTGATCCGATTGATGAGAAAGATGAAATTGATAGAAGAGGACTCTACTGAAGAACTTCCATACCAAACCTTCTATAACCTCTTCGTTCATGTTCAATCAATGGGTGATCTCAGAGGAGAATCTAGCACTGAATCTGAAGAATAGTAGATTTACCTTGCTACCTGTATGTCTATGTGTGTAATTTGGTTTGAACTTTGTGTTTGCTTTGCCTTAGAATTTTGCTTTTAGATCTCTCTATAGTAGATATTGAGCATAGGATGTTTGTTTTCAGTGTTTTGAGTGTTGTGGCTTCGATTGCGACGCTGAATTGATGTATTAAGGTTGAGAAAATACCAAACTTAGGTGTGTCTTGTAACGTGTATTGTAACCCTTAGAATTTATATATAATTGTGATATTTTGTGTTATGAATGTTTATTTGTGTTATTACATCATTTAATCACTTAAAATTATGTCTATAATGATTGAACGGATGTCGTTGAGGCTTGAAAATTGATCGAAATTAAAAAAATCCAGAAATTAAACCAATTTAATAGAGCTAGTCGACGGTGCTCTCGACGCCGCCGACAGCGGACTTTTCCGAGACTTGGGATATTAATTCAATAGAGCTCGCTGACGGCGCCGAAAACCCCGCCTACCGCGAGATCACCCGCCTACCGCGAGATCCCAAAAAAACATCTTTAACCATGATTTTGACCAGTCAATCGCCACTATTCATCATCCCCTTCCTCTTAAAAATGAAAATTTTGATCTAGAGCTTGAAAATCTTGGATTTGGGGGCAATTTCAAAGCATTTAGACAGCGTATTTAATCATCTCTTGGTAAGAGCTTCACTCCAAACTAAAAATATTTGATTTTCACCATGAATTTTTTCCACATTGAGAAGATCCAAAAAAATTGAGAATGTGAAGAAATTCATGGAATTTAGTTTTGAACCCTTAGAATCACTCTTGGAAGCCATTATTTGCATATTTGAAGTATATTTTGAAATTTTTCTATAATTTTGATTAGATTGAAATGGCTCAACAACAAAAGAGGCGACTTGAGTTTAACGAGTCTCGCTTCGTCAATGCAGAGGCTCAATCGAGGTTTACTTCAGTATTTGAAGGAAAGAAATGTATACAAGATCGAGTTTCAGAGAGTCCGGGAGGAGAAATTGAACGAGTTATTGTCGTGCGGAGGTGGGAAAACTTTTATTATACCACCAATAAGGCTGCTGCAAATATTGTAAAAGAATTTTATGCCAATGTATTTTATTCTGAGGGTGGAATCGTTCAAGTGCGGGGATTTTCTGCTGAATTTAGTGTCGCCCACTTTAACACCTTTTATGAAGTCCCAGACTTCTATAACTACCATTATGAAACCTTCAGTACCATGGAAGGCCCGCTGTATGATGTCATCAACTTTCTCATTGATGGGAAAAGAATATGGAAGATAAAGCAATAAGAATGGGTAAATTTTTATGCTTCCATGTTGAATGCCACATCTAAAGCGTGGCACTATTTTATTTCATCTACTATGTTACCTACCTATCACCATAGTGAAGCAACAAGAGATAGAGCTATCTAAATTTTTGTATTTAGAATAATAGAAATATAAATATGGGGAGAATCATTTTTAAGAATTTATTGACCACGGCAAGGAGTGAAACAAGTGGAGGTCTAGGACTTCCTAGCCTTATTTATGCACTTTGCCAACTTTCTAGAGTGGAAGCTGGAGATGATGAGGAATGGGTTTACCCTATGAAACCCATCAGTAAAGCTAATTTAAAGACATATGAATCTCACAAAAAATGGAGAACTTGGAGTAGGAGTCGAGCACCTTCTACTCGTAGAGATATCCCCTCTACTAGTTATGACCTTCCACCTTCTAGTTCCCCTACCCTGACTAATTTGATGAATGATTTGACCTTACAGTGAAAGAGTATAGAATTAATAAATGAAGAGATTGGAGGTTTAGAACGTATACATGATTATGATAGTGAGTACCTGTAGAGGCATTCAAATTTTGAGATAGCTTACTACGAAGCTCAGGCCCGGCACTATAGAGGTGAGTCTGATGTTTCATTTCCTGAATGCCCCCATTATACTCAGTATCAACCCAATCCACCTGCTGACCAAGGAGACAAAGATATAGTATGGGATTTTGATATCTGAATGTAATTGATGTACTTTTACTTTTATGTTTTTATTGTAATTTTTGTTATAGAGATAGATGTTTATGTGTTTGTACTTTTATTTTTATTTTTTATGTTGTAATTGGATAATTTTTAATTATTATTATAATTATTTGGTGTGGTAGTTGAAATTTGTAAATTGTAATGTGAAGCAATTTTTATTTTACAAATTAATTGTAATTGTTTTTTTTTTTTTTTTTTTGTTAAATATTTTTTTTTTTTTTTTTTTTTTTTTTATGGCAGGCTAGGTTGGCAAGCATTGACTTGTTTCCGGATGTTGGAGGGGGAGCTTTGAGAGAAGAAGCGAGCGTGCAATTGTACAAAGAGAAGCAGAGGGCCAGCATCTTCTTTAGAAAGATCGGCAACCAAGTTCGCAAGGGTTATGGCGACCAACGACATAGAATGAAGGCAAGTGTAAGACTTATTAGCTTCTAACTTCTCTCTTTCAATTAAAAATTTGAGCTTATTTGTTTGTTTTTTATGATAGATAATGATAGATGATAAACAGCAATCTCGTTGAAATTGGGTAAGAAATGAAGCATATTGAAGGGGAATGGAAACCATTGATGATAAAAAGAGAAGAAGCTTGCTGTATTTTCATATCATCCAAAAGCGTATTTTCATATCATCTTAAAGTGGAATTGTAGCAAATAGATCCTATCTCCTTTTTACAAAATAACACTTCCTACCATGATGCACCAAGTGGCAGCATCCTGAACAGATAATTGCAACCCTCTCAATCTTATTAGGGCAGTTTTATATGTGCTAATACTTTGCAGGTCCAGCATATATGTGATAATTCCTATGTTTTTCAGCAATTTGAAAGGTTCTTAATACATAGGATTACAGGCAATTTTTTTGTAACACAAGGTTAATGGTGCCATGATATTGGGGCGTTACAGACAATTTTTTGTATATTCAGCTGGGTTGGATAACCCCTTGCAGCTTTTAGATCGGTTGGTAGAGTCCAATCTAGTATTTCATGAATCTTATCTTGATTTGAGACGAGTTAGCGGACATTGTGTGGTAAGTAGTTTACCTTAGTTTGGCTTTATAAACATTTTGAGGAGGAATTGATTATTGTGCAAGCAATTGAAGGCTAGTGCTATGTATTTATTGTTGATTTGTAATGTATTTTTATAGATGATGATCTCATTAATAATATGTTTTAAAATTTAGAGGGGGCACTGGCGAGGCCGAACAATATTACTGCAAATTCATAATGCCCTTTGTATGTTTGAAAAGCCATTTTATAGATGCCTTCCGCTGCCCTGTCCACGAGTCTTGATTGGAGTAGCTAGTGTCCCCTTGCAGCTCAACCGACAGCGAGCCCAACGGCGCCGATGGTGAGATTTTCCCGAGAGTCCAGAATCAAATATTCCAGAAGAGATCAAATAATTTAGAAGGTCCGCAGACGGCGCCCTCGAGGCCATCGACGGCGAGATCAGCGGTTATTTCAAAAGGTGCATTGAATGTGGATGATTTTTGGAGGGATGCTTAGGAAACTCTTAGGAAAACTCTTCTACAACTTTAAAAGAACACTTTCGCCAAAAATTGGAGGCTCTGGAGGCTCTGGAGGGGGGAGTTGCAAGTGTTTGAGAGGTTCCAGTAGTGTGTACAGAGTCTAATTTAGGGTTAGATTGGGAGGAATTCTTGGAGAGATTGTAAGAGTGGCGGGGGGGGGGGGGGG